TCCCCATGCAGATCTTCGAGAACAAGGGAGCCATGATGGGCTGCTCCAACCCTCATCCGCACTGCCAGGTGAGTGCCCATCCCATGGTGACCTGCTCCCAATGGGACCCTGCAGCCGCAGACCCCCATGGGAGGATGGAGCTGATGCTGCATCCCCCTGAGCTGAGTTCTAGGCCCTTTCTGCAGGGAGGACCCCCCTTCCCGATGCTTCTTCCGCCGGTTTCCGTCTTGGGGACAGTCCCTGGTGGCTGCCACGTGTGTGGCTCTCCGCCTGGTGGCAGCACGGGTCTGTGAATGGGGAGCAGGGCTCGAGCACCCCTGTGTGCCAGCAGTGTCGGAGCCCCTTGCCTGAGGGGAGCGTGGCTCATTGCCCCCCAGCTTGACCTGGTTGTAGCTGGGGGGCTGTGACATGAGCCTGGAGCGGCTGGAGGGGGCCAGGAAGGGGGCACAGCTCCCCGTTCATCCTGGTGCTCCCAGTCCTGTCCTTTTTGCTTCAGGGCCTGTCTCTGGAGGGCCAGGGAGGCTTTTTGCTCCACGTATCTTGTGGTAGCCCGCACACCACTCTGTCCCCAGGCAGTGGGAGAGTGAGGGGTTCCTGACCACAGGGAGGGTTGGGGAATAGGGCAGGTGCCATAGGATGGGCACAGGTTGGGGTTAGGGGGCAGGTAAACCTGTCCTCAAGCTCTGCTTCCCTCCTGCCAGATCTGGGCCAGCAGCTTCCTCCCGAATGAGGCCCGGCTGGAAGACCGGACACAGCGGGAATACCGGAGCCAGCATGGTGTGCCCATGCTGCTGGAATATGCGGAGCAGGAGGCTCGCAGGAAGGTGAGGACAGCTCCGTGGTGCCTTCCCCTGAGAGCTGGGAGCACGGATGTGTGCTGGGCTGGGGGACAGGATGAACCCCCACCTCCCGTAGCTCCAAGTGGGCTCCGTGGGGTGAGGGTGCTGCGTGCGGCTCCGTTGATGGCGCGTCCCGCAGGAGCGGCTCGTGGTGGAGAACGTGCACTGGCTGGTGGTGGTGCCCTACTGGGCCACGTGGCCCTTCCAGACGCTGCTGCTGCCCCG